AGCAACTAAAAATAAGATACCATATTGGGAGAACTTCACCTTTCAACTATAATGTGCTTATGTTTGCTAAAGCTTACCTGGTTCATAGAGACAGTATTTATATGACTACACTGTACACCATGCGATTATGATATAGAAAATAGGTAAAGACAAATATTGGCACTGTTAAAGAATGATTCTTATTTAATATTCAAATTTTCTGCAGTAGAAATCCTGATCATTTCCACTGTTGCCTTGCATTGTGCTGCTGGCAAGGTCTTCTTAATTTGTTTTGTTACAATAATAAAAGAAAGTGCATGAAATAATATACATAAAGCATTAAAATGAGCACGGAAAAATAAAAAAAAAGATTGTGAAAATTAAAAAAAAAAAAAGCAGATCTTGTTTAGTCCCAGCTCAGTCTCTGTACTAGCTGGTCTGAGTAGTTAAAATTAGGCAATCTCAGGAAGGGAGAGAGGTTGCCATTGTTTAAATGCTAAGTAAAAATAGAATACTGATTGGGTTCAAATGAAGGTTGTTCTTAAAGTAACTCATACTTATAGTGCTGGAAAACAGATTCTTGCTGACAGTCTAGATACTTCCTATGTTAAAGTACAGTCACACAAAAATCTCTAAGGGGGGCAGATCATTACAAATGCCCACCTGGCATCTTTTTTAGGTGTAATGCAACACTAAAAAATGTTCTGGAAAATAGGTATGGAACGCTTACGTATGCCAAATACGTAAACAGAATAGTTATTTGGGAAACTGGAACAGAGCTGTTTGAAAAGCGTATTCACTCACTGCCAGTTCTTGGCCTGGTTATAGCTATGTGCTTGAAACAGCATTTCCCACCACTGTTTCTGATTCTCTCTCCATGCAGCACCTTCCCTCCCCCACTCCCAGTTGGGCACCAGATTGTGCCAGCCCTGAACACTGCTGCAATTTACTGCTGAGTCACATCATTTCACTGCTGTCACAGAACATCATCGTCACTGCTCTGATAGGAATATCGCAACAGCAATCTTTCGGTATGAAAAGGGAGGGTCTTCCAAGACATACGCAGTGGAAAAGCTGAGTAGAGCATGTTCTTTCAGAAAAAGCTGTCTTCCTCTTCAAAGGAAATTCCCTGGGTTATCTGATCACATGTTTGGAAACAGCACAATTGCCTCTCCCCATGATTTCGGCTCTGCTCACATGCGATACCTCCAGAATGCCCAAAGGATCCATGTTCAAAGGCAATGGGCACTAGAAGAGACTTCCGTTGTTTATTGTGGTGCTACTGAAGTCTTCTGGGGTTGACAGATGCTGCTCCAGAAGGTTAATAAGATGAAGAAAGCTCTTCCAGCTGGACCATAAGAGGGATTATGTCTGAGCAGCAGATAAACAGATTATTCCAGAAACAGACACTGCTTTTTTTTTAAAAAACTTCGTCACTCTTGTCTTACCACTCCAATCCCACAGACTAGAAGTGTGTGCATTGGAGGGGTTTGCCCAGCTCTTGCATTCTGGCACATGTTGGACTCTTCGCCTAGTTGCAATTCAATGCAGTCCAAGGCTGGGGACACCTGAAAAATAATTTAAAAAGAGGGAAGACATTTGAGGATTTTAATTCTTTAAGAAAAGAATTTCTTCTACTTGACCTCAATATTCTTATTTCCTGCATGGTTGTTCTTGAAAACTGTGAATGATCAATAGACAGCATGCATTTGAAAACTGGATTAATATTTCTGATCATTTGCCTTGCTCTCCAAGTTCAGGGAAGCAGAGGTAAGTGCATCTTTAAAAGGCTTACACTAATTTACATTGCATATGCTGAAAAAAAATAATGGAAAGATCAGGATATTTCACATTACAGAATTCTATGTTTGGAATTTGATGTTTTGACAATTTAGCTAGAGACAGTATAGTTAGTGACACTGTTATAAAGTTGCAAAAGGAAATGTTGACAAGATTTCTTATGTATGTTTCCCAGGCTTCACAATCTCTGTAAGAGATGCCATTTAGTTTCAATTTACTTGCATATGTTCTGTTATGAAACCAATTATATGGAAGGGGCAAAATAGCTGAAAGAACATCTAAGTGCTGACATTGTTAAAGATGATTTGCCATCCTTGAAATGAAGAGAAAGTAGTAGAGTATATCTTTGAATGTACATATCTTTGAATGTCAGAAACAACTTAAAAAACTTGTAGATATTCAAATTCTGGAGGAATAAACCGTACTTGCACATACACAAACCCCAGCAACACTAATTAAGGATTACTGCAATAACAATTGTAAACTTACTTGCAAGAAAACAACAGCTAACTATTGCTTCTTTTAAAAACATTTAAAAGTTCACAACAATTTTAAAGTTTCTTCAACAACAAAAAATAAAAGAAAATAATGTGATTTTTCCTTGTTCAGTTTCACATTCAACAGATATAGAGCTTTGGGGAACATGTTTATTTATGGGAAAGGTTTCTTACTACCTTTTTCGTCTATGCTTTGATATTTATATAACTGAACTAAAAGCCAACATTACAACTGCTTTATGCTTGCCCAAGTGAATGACCTCCTATTTCATGTCAATCTCAGGCATGTTAATTAAATGCAAAGAATGTAAAATGATAAGAGAAGTGTCCTCAATAGCATTTAAATATTTGAAAGAGATGATGTGAAACATAATCTACTGTCAATACTACTTGGAAAGCTTTATTCAGACGTCACTTTTTTTTTTTGGTCTTGCATTTCTTTGCATAAATTTTCTTTAAAAAAATAAAGAACACAGTTCTTGTATCTCACTGAAATTATGTAAATCTTCTCTAGTGGACAATTACAGTACTGAAAAAATCCTTGGAAAAAAGTAATGTATTAGTTAACACTAGACTTGTATTCTGTTGCTCTTTGATTATTCTTTTTAACTCCATGTAAATAGTGCTATTTAGTCATTAGTGATATTTTGTAAATGTGACACAAAATTAGAGAATGAGTGACAGTTCATGTCTGAAAAGAAGAAAAGGTATATCAAAATGCACTGCTTTCTCATTTAAGTTGCATATTCTACAATGGAAAGAGAGAATGAATTCCAGGCAATTCTTGCATGCCTGATGGTTTCATTACTGTCCATATTTATAATTATGAACTGAGAAAGTGATAATGTTAAAAGTGGAGTCACATTCACTCATTGCAAATTATGACTGTATGTTACATTTCCCATATAAAAGCCTTCAGCAAAATTCTGGGAGGAACTGTAAATTATCTCCCTAAGAGATGTAGTAGAAGACTTAGTGCATGGAATGTTTATCAACACTCAGAAGCAATGATGAGTAATGAACTTCATATAGCATCTTGCTTATGCAACAGTCTCAGAATTTTCTCATTTTTGATGGCTTTCAGGTGAAAAAATATTTTTTCTATACATGCATGTGACCAATAATTGGAAAAATTCCTTCCCACCAGTTTTATAAAGTACGTAGTATGCGCAAATGCATAATAATTAGGTTTTATTGCCATGTAGTCACGCCATGTATAATATTTTAAAACAATGCAATCTCAAATATATGCACATAGATCTCAAATGACTTAATGCTTGTGTTAAGAAACTTCTTGACCAGAGCGAGAATGCTTCCAGAGCTTTACTTTATGACTTAGCATTAGGGTCAGATACTTACAGAAAATATTTTCAAAAGTACACAGACTCTCCTAGTAGTCTGAATACTTATATTAATCACTCATTAGTGATTCTAACACAGAAGATTTGAGGCTTTTAGGGTTATTTAAGTTTGCAGTACTTGTCAACTGTGACAGACTAGGAAATAAGTAATAAAGATATAAAACGATCCCATTTTAAAAGAAAAAAACATAGAACTAATAATCTCTAAATAGTTATAGGATTAATAAATTGATTTTTTCCCCCCTCATGAACAAAACTATCTTAAATTCAAATTCCTGTTTTACTCACATCTGTATTTTGAGGTTAAACATGGGGCTTGCTCAGTAATGTCTTTTGGTCTTTCTTTCCCATCTTTATTTTAGGACCAAAAAAGTTCTTCTCCCAGCCATTTGGGAGGCTGTCCAGGAGTGCTTCCAATTCCACAATGAACAAACTGGAAACTGTAGGGAGCAATATAAAGACTTTAGAGACAGTGCTTTCCTTTGGTCATGACTAGTGCCAGAATCCAGGAAATGACCTTAGGACCTGAACTCCGATCTTTGCCACTGTCCTGACACAAATTGTCTCTAACAATAGGAAGAGAAAGTGAAGGGGATAAAATCTTTGTCATGGCAAAAAATCTATGTGCAAATATGACAGTAATTTTTAACTGTTAAATTGTAAACCACCGAAAACCCAGACTAACTAGTAAAATACAAAGGACCTTTGAACTCTCAAAACTATACATTGGTGCTAGGTACATCCTAACACGTAATACTGAGAATGTAGAGGAGCCAGAGACTGTTCAAGGCTGTTTAGTGTTATTTTTTATTCAGCAAGTAAATATCCTCTATTTTCTCAATCATTCTTTAGGACACAAAGGCTCTGTGTGTACTCTATGAAATCATTTTAATTCATTCTGACTTACCCCTTCCCGCTCGGCTGTTCCAATTCAGCAATAAGTGCTGCAGATCTTCATTACTATAATTGCCCTTGAAAAAAGGGTTAAGCAAATTTGCGCCAAAGGGAAAGGGAAGTCAAAGAACATAAAGTTTCAAATAAAGAAAGAAAGAAAAAAAGACATCTGCTTTTTGCACTAAGATTATTTTCTACTTTCACCCATAAAATAAGGATTACCAAGTTAAAGCTAACTTTCCTGGTTGTGCATATAAACAAATGAAAAGTAAAACTTTTTTTTCCCCGAATAAATCTAACACTGAATTATACATGGGTTTTAATCTTATTTATTTCCTAGCTAAGGAAATCACAGATTCTTAAAGATTAATTCCAGATATAATCACACCCATACCATAGTGATTAGTGAACTATATGTGAATGAACAGGTAGATGTGTGTGATTTTTTCTCTGATAACAGTTGTGGTCAAGATGATCTCTATTAATAATAAAAGTTAATTTACAGGCTACAATACAGGACGTTAATTTACAGGCTACAATAAAGTAACTTTACTTGGAGTCTTAACCTGCTAGAAATCCAGATTATTGCTTACACTATTCTGAATTTCTCAGCTAATTGTAGTGTCCAAGTGGCTTCAGCAGTGCATTAAGTGATATGGCCAACGTTCATCAGATTTAACAAACACAGTCTTGTTCCCAGAAGCAAAACTGTATGCATTCTACTGCATTTTGATGTGTTTTCCCCTCTGCTTTTGTATCTCTATCCTATTCCCAGTTCCTTTGAGATTAAAATGAGAGTCTTCTACTCATTCTCTATCCCACAGTTCTTCCATTTTAATCAGAAATTAGGTGCACTATCTGGCATCTTCCATGCACTTCGCATTTTGCAAGTCCAGCTGTGTTTCAAACAATTTCTTCCCCTTAGGAATGTGCGATGTTGAACAACACACTTTCTCAAAAGAAATATCTATCTGTCTACTTGTGTACACATATATACTGGCATTTAGTCACTATCAGCTGCTATTTACTGGACAGACACTTCAGAAAAGTAACATATCTGGAAAATGTAAGATTAACAATCATCTGGGAGCACCCTGTTTTCTGCTACAGTGTAAGTGCATTTATTTATCCTTACTCAATTTTAGCACACCTTATCATTGAATGCAAGCACATCACCAGTTTTAACCTGGTTTTAACCTACAATATACTTGTCTGACAAAGTAACACTATAAGGAAAGTTTAGCAGACTGATTCTCAAAGCAACTACCTAGTTACATAGATGTCTGCAAGTCAATAGGACCCAGACTCATAGCTGCACAGCTACGTAGCTAATTCTACTTAGACCACCATGCTTATCTTTTCAGTGGTGAGGTTCTACTGGCTTTTAAATTTCTGCTTCAGTGCAGAGTCAAAATTACCTTCTTATTGCCACTCCGAATTTTTCAGAACCTCTCTCATACTTCATCCAATTGTATATTAGCAATCTTGCTAACCCTGTTACCTGAAATACAAGTTTTAGTCAGTATGCTCCAGGTAAACCTTTCATATATATGAGTCAAGACAGATCATAGAAGCCCATTTCAGGCAGAAAGCAGTAGTGCGTTCATCTTTCATTTTGTGATTTTGTGGTTACAGCACAAAATGAAGACAGTTCTAATCAAGTTCTTTTCCCTTTCCTCTTCTCCCTCAAAACTAGAAAAATTTCAAATAGCTCCAAAGTTGGCCATGCTTAGAGAAAAGAATTGGACTAGGTGACCTCCAGGTGTTCTCCCAACTTAACTTTATCTATGCAGCTTGACACATAACTAAGTTAAGTAAGATTAAGTCCATGTTATTCTCTGTCAAAATGAGATGGAGTCAATTAATCAGAGACTGTAGATTGAATTGCAGGACAAGTGCCCGTAAACTGTGAGTAAAACTGACCAGTTCCAATGACACAAGTTCAAGCAAAGAGATGGCACTGTGACTTCTGACTCCTGAAAGCTTTCTCATATGCCAAACATTCTAATCATCATAATATTTGAATACAGTTACTCCAATAAAACCATTTTGCACTGCAACCCTTTGACCCACACAATCACAATTGTTGAAATGTTGACATACACGACAAAACACTGCCGGAACTTGAACTTATGCTGTCTCACTGACTTTCTCAGAGAATGGTTGTACATCTTGAGTAAGACTGATTAGAAAATTAATAGCAGAGATGTTCAAGTGA